AAATCCTAATTCTTTTATTATATCTCAATAGATGGAATAGCCAATTAGCCCAAGGTAGAAACGAAACAAATAAGGTTTTGTGTGTGTGTGTATGTGTGTGTGTGTGTGTGTGTGTGTGTGTGTGTGTTCCTATATGGCACGTGCACTCACCAGAAAGACAGAGAGGGGCAGAGAGACAGAAAATGAGAACGCCCTGGGGGGATGACCACGCTATAATCCCTTCTCCATTCTCCTCTTAGGATCTTGGACGCACATGCACCCGGCATGAGTTTAAGCCGCCAGGTCCAGGACTCGAATTGCAGTCGACTACATGGGAGTCCAGTGACATAGCCATTATGCCATCTCCTGGTCCCTTTAATATAAGATTTCTTTCTCTTTTTTTTTTTTTTTTTGAGAGGTTTTTGCTATGGGGCACGGGTGCTCACCAGAAAGACAGAGAGACAGAAAGTGAGAAATCACCCCTCATGGGAAAGGGTCACATCCTAATCCCTTCTCCTCCATTCTTCTCTTGAGATCTTGGGCATACATGCACATGCACATCCCCCCTTCCCCCTATGAGTATAAGCCACCAGGTCCAGTACTTGAACTGTGATAGTCCAGCGATATAGCCTTTATGCCAACTGCTTGTCCCTATATGAGATTTCTAATTAGGAGCCAGCTAGGTAGTGTGGTGCTTAAGGCAGCTGGATCCCACATGGCCGATTGCGGGATTCAAGTCCCAGGCTCAGCAGCTTTATAAACATGTTGGTGTGTGTGTTTATGCCCAAAATTCTAACAGAAGAATAGAGGAAAAGGGATTCTGTTATGGCCCTCTTCCCTGTCTCTCTCTCCCTCTCTCTCTGTCTCTTTCTGGCACTCTGGTGAGTGCATGTGCCCTGTAGCAAATTAAAAAAAAAAAAAGTTGCAGAGTCCTTTCATTAGATCCCTAGTCAGTTATAAATAAGACATATAGTATGGTAGAAAAGCGGTGGGAGGGTCCGGCAGGTGGCATGGTGGCATGGTAGTTAAGGGCACTGGACTCTCACTTGGCAGACCATGATTTGAGTCCTGGACCTGGTATCTTGCTTTCTCACTTTCTCTCTCTCTCTCACTCTGTCCCTTTCTGGTCAAATTAAATAAATAAACAAATTAAGTTAAATAAATTAAGTCTTAAAAAGGGGCGATTGGGATCCTAGTATTGATCCAGTTATTTTAGTGATGTATAAGTAATTAAAATCATTCTCAAGTTCTTTTAGCAAGGATCCTGGTAAACTTCAGTATAAGATTACTAGTTAGAGGGCCAGCTGGTGGTGTGGTGGTAAGGAAGCTGGATCCCACATGGCTAACTATGCATTTTGAATACCAGATCCAGTAGCTTGAAAAATACACCGGGCAAAGGTACATGCATGCCCGAAGTCCTGATAGAGTGGAGGAAAAGGGATTGTAACATGGCTGTCTGCCCTGGGGGTAGATGGATTGATTTCTCTCTCTCTCTCTCTCTCTCTCAACAGGTAGTATGCACACCCTATGGTTTAAAAATAAAATAACTAATTGTGCAGTCTTTTCACTGGATCTCTAGGTAGCTATAAACAAGGCATTTGGTAAGATAGAAAAGGGGTGGAAGCCTAGAATTGATCTGGTTATTTACGGGTGTGGAATGGTTAAAGTAATTCTCTAGTCTTTGCCAAGGCTCCTGGCAATCCTTCTCCCTTGGAAGTTTAGCACTTCCTCCATTCTGCTATGGTTCTAAAGAAATGCTTGTGTGAGATACCTGCAGGGACAGTAAAGGTAGGAAAATAGGTTCTTGAATAAAGTTTTCGGGGTTCCAATCCTGGCTCTGCTACTGACTATCTAAGACTTTGGGCAATTTATTTAATCTCTTTAGTCTTCAATTTTCATATTTGTGAAATGAATTTAATCATAATACCTACTACATGGGGTAGTAAGTATATATAAGAAGTAAATGAAAAACTATTTGTAAAGAACTCTACATAGTACCTGGCATATAGTAAGCACTTAAGTAGTAATGGCTAAAGGTGGAAAAACTATGTAGGAAATTATTTATTCATATACAATGATTAAATGATAACTCTGAATAGGATTCTTCACTCTGTCAGAGCTACCAACCTTTCTTAGCTCCCTTTCTATTTACCAGAAATTGGGTATAGCCAAAAGCAAGGGAAATGAACATCTTTCTCTAAGCTGAAAGAGTCAAAGTAAGACTGAGAATGTATTCCTTTTTTGAGCTGGACTAGTTAAACAAGTTGAGCACAGAAAGCTATAGCTATCTGCACTGCTTTTGATTGTAAGGATGACTGCTATAGTCTTAGGGACAAAGTCACCTCTTTCTTAGTTAGGATTGAGTGTAGAGGTACTGAAAAATTCCTGTGAAGAGGAAGGAGCTGGGGCCTGGCCAGACCCTGTGGAGGATGCTTCTCTTTCTTTCTCTTTCACCTTCAGTCTTACTCTCACATGCATGTACAGGCACTTTATTGTGAGTAAAAGGAAGTTTGAATTATTTTTTTAAGAATTATTTTATTTACCTTTATTTATTTATTATTTAAATTTGACCGAAGAGGGACAGAGAGAGAGAAAGGAGAAAGGGAGGGAAAATGAGAAAACAAGCTGCTAGGTCCAGGACTTGAACAGCAGTTGACCATGTGGGACTCCAGCACCCTTAACCATCATACCACCCGCTGTCCTCAAGTTTGAATTATTTTGAGCTGGTTTCCTTTTGGGTTCGTTATCCTTCATAAATGAAGTCAAAGTAACTGCTCTGCTGCATGGTGAGGGCATTTTCCACTTTTTTCATTTATAACCATTAGGTATGTATAGAGTAGAGGGTCTCTTAAGATTATGAAAGAGTGGAGCTGTTTTTTAGGTTTTGCCATAGGGTGTGTGCATTCATCCAAGAGAGACGATGAGAGGAAAGGTGAGAAATCTGTGCATAGTGCCCCCCCCACCCCCATGGCCATGCCACAATCCTTTCTACTTCATTCTCCTCTCAGGATTTTGGATGTGCATGCACACACACCCGCCCCCAACCTTCAAAGCCAGGTCCACGACTTGAATTACAGTTGGCCTTATGGGAATTCAGTGCCTTAACCACCATGCCACCTGCTGGCCCCTGTTTTTGTTTTTATTTTATTTTTAAAGAATTATTTTACTTAACTTTATTCAGTCATTTTCATTTATTTTTTATTAATTTGACCAAAGAGAAACAGAGTGGGGATGGGGGATGAAAAACCAAGCTGCCAGGGCCAGGACTCAAACCGTGGGTGGCCATGTGGGAGTCTAGACTCTTAACCACCATGCCACTGGCTGGCCCATTATTTTTATTTCTTAAATTTTGTCAGAGGGTGTATATGCTTGGTGGAGGGTGGGAGAATGAGAAAAACACTCCCCATGGGGAATGGTCACACTAGTCTCTTCTCCATTTCTTTTTTCTTTGGGGATTTTGGACACACATACACACACATGTGTCCAGTATGTTTCTCAATCTACCTGATTTGGGACTTGAGCTTCATAGTCAGCAATCTGGAATTCAGCTGTCTTAACCACCATGCCACAGACTGGCCCTGAGTGTCTCAGTCTTGAAAAAAAAGTCCTGCTTGGGTAGAGGTTGAGGTACCTGGGAGCCCACTTGATTAGATGTTTACTGGTCCTGAGGTTTAGCTTTTGATTACTAGTGACTGGGTTTTTTTTTTGGGGGGGGGAGTGGGGAAGAAACTGTTAAAGTGGGACAAAGAGGTAAGACTTAGGTCTTGATTGGAAGAGATCCAAAACTGTTGTATTAAACAGTGTTGTGTGTGAACAGTAGCTCAGTGTGTGAATAGGAGCTCAGTAGCTCAGCCATAGAATCACCAACTCCAACTCCCAGTAAGCTGAAACATTTTTCACAAATCTGCTGGGTGCTTAGAAAAGATCCAGAGCATCTCTCTCTTAATCTCTCTCTTAGATAACTATAGTTGTCCTCTTAACATACCTTTTTTTCTCAGTTTGACACCTTTTTACAAAATTATTTTGAACTGGGCTTTCTCTGTGGCCTGGTGGTTAAGGTAGCCAAGTCCCACATGACTGACTGCGGTGTTTGAGTCCTAGACTTAGTAGCTTGAGAAACACAGGGATTGCAACTTGACTATTCCCTATGTGGAGGGTGCTCTTCTCTCTCTCTCTCATCTTTGGCGAATTCATGTGCCTTCTAGCAAAAAAAAATAATAATAATTTTAGACTCTTTAGAGCCTTCTATGACTTTACTGGGTCTTTCAAACAAACATTTGACTTTCTCTGTAAGTTCTTCAGAAACACCATCATTCTGGCCTTCTTCCTCTTCCATTCCTTGGTGAGTAAATGGAACTTGTAAGCAGTGTTCAACGATTAGTTTGAGTACCTGCTACCGACCTGTTGTCTATGTATTACTTACCAGAACCTCAGTTTTTCATATCTAAACTGCCAGAATGAATTAATTTATTTTTCTTCCTCCCTCCCCTTCTTCCTTTTTAAATTTCTTTATTTACTAAAGGGCAAGTGTGCTTGCCAGAGAGAGAGAGATACTGAGGGAGAGGAAGAAAGCACCTACTGTGGGACATGGTCATGCTGCAATCCCTTCTCCATTTCTCCCTCCATTTAAAATTTCAAGCAGGCATGTACCTGTACCTGGTATGTTTTTCAAGCAGTTCGGTTTGAGATTCAAACCATGTAGTTGGCTGTGTGGTATCTAGCTCCCTTAACCTCTAAGCAGTGGGCTGGTTCCAGAATTTCTTGAGCATAGAAACATGTTTAATGTGTTTTTCTTACTGTTTCTTTGTTCTGTCTTATGAATATTGAGGCCCTACCTTAAATGAAGTTTTTAGTCATTCTAGGTACAAAATGTTTACTAGTGTATTCAATTTCTTTTCTTTTTTTGTTTACTTGACCGTAGTTCTTGGCACAGAGTGGATGGCATATTATGACCAATAATTTTATTCTCATTTACTTTGAGAGGCTAGGATCTTTCAATGCTTTTCTTTGTCTCTGAACAGTCTGAAGATGATGAGAAGCTGAAAAAGAGGAAGGAGCGATTTGGGATTGTCACAAGTTCAGCTGGAACTGGAACTACAGAGGATACAGAGGTAAAATAAATACCATCAGTGTTTCATGGAGTTCAGATAGAAATGAGGATGAATGAGCTGAGTGGAGAAATTTTCTAAGTGCCCAAATGACAAGATACTCTACCTTTTGCTTGATAACTTTTTTTCTAGAAGAAGAGACCATGCTGAATTTCATTATTATATCTTTTTTTTTTTTGGAGAGATTTTCACTGTAGGGCGCGTGCGCTCACCAGACAGACAAAGGGAGACATAGAGACAGAAAGCGAGAAATCACCCCCCAGGGGGGATGGTCACGCCGCAATCACTTCTCCTCCATTCTCCTCTCGGGATCTTGGGCACGCACGCACACGCGCCCGGCGTGAGTTTTAAGCCACCGGGTCCGGGA